TAGAGACCAGCAGTTGGCATAATGGCTATGTCGCTGGACTCCCACGTAGTCGACCGTGGTTTGAGTCCCAGACCCGGTGGCTTAAAACTCACGCCAGGCGCATGTGCGTGCGTGCCCAAGATCCCGAGAGGCGAACGGAGGAGAAGGGATCACGGCGTGGCCATCCCCCCTGGAGGGTGATTTCTCGCTTTCTCTCTCTTTGTCTCTCTCTGTCTGTCTGGTGAGCGCATGCGCCCTTATAGCAAAGACCTCTCCAGAAAAAAAAAATGCAATGTAGACAGTTTTTCTACTACAGGGCGTGTGTGCTCACCAGAGAGACAAAGAGAGACAGAGAGACAGAAATTGTAAAATTAGAATAGCTTCAGTAAGGAGCAAATGTTATATGTGGGGTTTTCAAAAAGTCTGTGGAAAAATGGAATAAAATGTGAGTTTATTTTGGTGTGAATAATCTTTAAAACCAATGTATAATTGTTGGGAACCAGCAGTTAGCGTAATGGCTATGTCGCTGGACTCCCACGTAGTCGACCGCGGTTCGCGTCCAGGACCCGATGGCTTAAAACTCACGCCGGGCGCGTGTGCGTGCGTGCCCAAGATCCCGAGAGAATGGAGGAGAAGGGATTGCAGCGTGACCATCCCCCCTGGGGGGTGATTTCTCACTTTCTGTCTCTATGTCTCTCTCTGTCTGTCTGGCGAGTGCACGCGCCCTATAGCGAAAACCTCTCCAAAACAATAACAAAAACAAAGAACCAATGTATAATTGTTTAATAATATACTTTTCAATGGACTTTTTGACAGTGCTTTAATATTCATCAATGAATAGAACACCATAAAAAATTTGAGAGCAAAAAGAGCTCTTGAACACTAAAAATGATAGCCAATATAAAAAATGCAATTAGACAACGAGCCAGTGGTGTGTTAATTAAGGTAGTGGGATCCTACATAGCCACCTTTAAAGTTCTAGTCTCAAATCAGGCTTGAAAATCATGATGGATGCATATACATGTGTGCTCAAAATCCTGGGAGGAGAATAGAAGAGAAAGAACTGCGGCGTGCCATCCTTCCTGGGGGTGACTTCTCACTTTCTCTCCCTCTGTCTCTCTCTGTCTCTGACAGGAGCAAAATGCAATTAGAGTCAGTCAGTGGCATGTTGGTTAAGGTAGCTGGATCCCATATAGCCAACTGCACTGTTTGAGTCTTGGACCCAGTAGCTTGAAAATCAAACAGGGCACATGTACGTATATCCTCAAAATCCCAAAAGAAAAAAGAAATGGAGGAGAAGGGATTGCAGCGTGACCATCCTCCATTGGGGGTGCTTTCTTGCTTTCTCTCTCTTGCTTTCTCCAGTAAATGTACTAGCCTGTGGAAAAAATAAAATAAAAAAGGAAAATTTAATTAAGAGGTCACAGGTGGTAGAGTGGTTAAGGTACTGGATGCCACATGGCCAACTGTGTGGTTTCAATCCCAGACCTGGCCACCTTGTGCATGTCTGAAATCCCAGAAGGAGAATGGACAAGAAGGATTGTGATATGATCATTCCCCCGGATGGTGATTTCTCACTTTCCCTTTCTCTCTGTCTTTCTCTCTCGCTGGTGAGCTCATACACCATATGATAAAATAAATGAAAAAATAAATAAATAAATGTAATTTAGAGGTTTATTTTTACTTTTTTTACTATAGGGTGCTTGTGCTCACCAGAGACAGAGAGACAGAGCGATAGAAAGTGAGAAATCACCTCTGGAGAGATGACCACATCACCATCCCTTCTCCTCCATTCTTCTTTTGGGATTTTGGCATGCACACACATGTGCCTAGCATGAATTTTAAGCCATCAGATCTGGGATTCGAACTGCAGTCAACTACATGGGAGTCCAGTGACATAACCACTACACCATCTGGTGATCCCATAAATAAATGCAATTTAAAAGTTGGATTATAAGGGGCCGGCAGGTGCTGTGGTGGTTAAGGACACTAGACTCCCACATGGTCGACTGCGGTTCAAGTCCCAGACTGGCAGCTTGCGTTCTTATGTTCCCTCTCTCTCTCTCACTCAGCCCATCTCTAGTCAAATTAAAATGAAATAAATAAATAAAGTTAAAATAAAAAATAATTCTTTAAAAAAAATCTTTGGATTATAGAATATAAAATATCTTTGTTTATTTTTTATTGTCTATATCCTTCACTAGCTGGTAAATCTCCATGAGGGTACCGTTCATAAAGTGCTGCCCTACACGGAGTAGCACTGGCCCAACGTTGGGGCTTAGTAGATATTTGTCAGATGCGAAGGACGGCAGAGCATGCCACCTCAAACTCTGCCACTCTGGCATAAGAATTATTTTTACTTAATGACACTCAAAACCAAGAGCAGGTGCAAGAGGGGTGCACTGACATCCCCAAGTTTTCTGAAGCAGGAGATAAAACTCTCACATGTCAGATTCTGTCCTTATCACCAGATATGGAGACTTGAGGCTGAGAGAATCCCGGGCAGATTTTGTTTAAATAACTCATCCACTTTTGATCTTCTACATATTTTAGTTACTTTTGCACAACTGGCTGTCTTTGTTCAGATTTTGCAACATCTTTGTGTCCCTGTTTTCCTAAGGGGGCTCCTATGAATGTATAAAAATTTGTATGCTTTCATTTGGTTAATCTATGTCGATTTAATTCTTAGGCCTAGCTAGACATGCTAAGAAGACACAGGTAAACTTTTACCTCCTCTACAAATGTACAAATGACTCTTCTCCAAAAAGATAGAACAAAATAGACAAAAGGATTAAAAGTAGTTAAGAAATATAAAATAATAAAAATAGTCTAGAGGAAAAAATTTAAAAGGGAAGAATTTCTAAGAAAAAAATAAAAAGAAAGAACATTCTTTAAAACCAAATAAGAGTTTTTATAAATAGTCCATTGAGTGATTACCCTGATGAATAAAGAAGAATGAAGTCACATTAGATGCATCACAGTAAAATTTCAGAAGAGTAGAGTTAAAGGAGGGGGCCAGCAGGTGGTGTGGTGGTTAAGGATGCTGGACTCCCATATAGCCGACCATGGTTTGAGTCCCAGACCTGGTGGCTTGCTTTTTCACTTTCCCTCTCTTTCTCTCTCACTCTTCTCTCTGGTCAAATAAAAAATAAAATAAAATAAAATAAAACAGTTAAAGGAAGGCCTAAACCCTCCTAGGGAGCAAAAAATAGACCATAATCAAAGGATTGGAACTTTTCCCCTTCAACATTGGGATTCCTAAAATATAGCAGACCAATGCTTCCAACATTCTAAGAAGAATAATATCAACCTAGAATCTTATACCTAGGCCAACTAGTGATCAAGTGTAGGAATAGTCATTTTTAGAAATGAAAATCATTTTTTTGGGGGGGAGCAAATAGTTTTTAATGTTTTGGGTTGTTATTTTATTTAGTTTTTATTTTTACAAACACACTGGAGAATCATGCGGTGCTGCCAGCATTAGATGCAATCCTGGGCCACAAGTCTGCGCACTCCTTTGCCACTGGTCCCGTGATGGCAGAACCTTTCATTTCACCTTTATTGTTTACTATGACCCCTGCATTATCTTCAAAATAAAGAAAGACGCCATCTTTTCTCCGGTATGACTTTGGCTGTCGAATTACCACTGCTGGATGCACTTTCTTCCTGAGCTCTGGTTTCCCTTTCTTGACCGTGGCCATCACCACGTCACCCACGCCAGCAGCAGGAAGCCTGTTCAGCCGTCCCTGGATCCCCTTCACAGAGATGATAGACAGATTTTTGGCTCCTGTGTTGTCGGCACAATTGATCACAGTACCTACTGGAAGACCCAGGGAAATTTGGAACTTTGCCCTGGAGGACCCACCATGTCCATCTGTATGTCGACATTAAGGGACTTGGACGACTCCAACTTTTACAACAAGCAGTTCCTTCTGCAAGGTGGGAGACCGCTCAGGCCCACCTCCAACCACATCAGTGATATTTGCAGAGTGATCTCGCTCGGCTGGGTCTAAAATGACGTGGGGATCCTGCCAGTTCAACTCCCAGTTGCCCAGGGATGCCACTCCCGGTGAGGCTTAAAGTCACCCCTGGGGGGGTGATTTCTCGCTTTCTGTCTCTCTGTCTCTCTCTTTCTGGCAAGTGCATGCTCCCTATAGCAAAAACCTCTCCAAAAAAAAAAAAAAGAAAAGGCCAAGGGATCAGCAATTAGCATAATGGCTATGTCGCTGGACTCCCACAGTTCGAGTCCAGGACGTGGTGGCTTAAACTCATCCCAGGCACATGTCCGTGCCTGCCCAAGATCCCAAGAGAATGAAGGAGAAGGGATTGCAGTGTGGCTATTCCCCCTGGGGTGATTTCTCGCTTTCTGTCTCTCTGTCTCTCTCTTTCTGGCAAGTGCATGCTCCCTATAGCAAAAACCTCTCCAAAAAAAAAAAAAAGAATAGGCCAAATCAGGATCAGCAGATGGTGTTACGTCACTAGACTCCTACATAGTTGACGACAGTTCGAGTCCCAGATCTGGCAGCTTAAAACTCACACTAGGCATGTGTGCATGCGTGCCAAAGATCCTGAGAGGGAAATGGAGGAGAAGAGATTGTGGCGTGGCCATCTCCCTGCGGGTAATTTTTCACTTTCTGTCTTCTCTGTCTCTTCGGCAAGTGCCCTATAGCAAACAGAAAAAAGAAAAGAGAAAAGAAAGAAAAGAATAAGCCAAGTCTATTTAATTCAGGAGTTATAATCTATTTTACATACTTACATACTTATAGTACCCAATAGTACCCAAAAGACTAGCTGTAAATCCCAAACTGAATATGGAGAATTGCTAAAATCTAACCTTAAAGGGACCACTAAAGTTGTGTATAATAGCAACATGAAAGAAATACGTTAACAACTTTCAGAAAAACTGAGTTTATGAAAACATCAAATTTCACTTCAACCTTTTACTCGTGAAAACATAAAGAAACACCTCTTGAATATGCAAGTTTAGCTTTCTTCAAGGAAATATTTATTGTATATTATCAGAGATTATATTTTACAACAAAATTAAATTAAATGTATGCACTTACAAACTTTTTACAAATAAAATGAAAATCAGAGTGTATATCAAATTTACATCGAACCAAAGTCCTGGTTTTCGTAATTCAGCTCAATCACGATTCTGGAGGAGGGCCACCAGTCCACGATTTCAGATAGTTGAGGATCTTTTTAGTAACTGGAACAAAGTCTTCTCTATATGTGATAATTGTTTCCACATAAAACCCCTTCGGGTGCTCAGAGTGTTCCTTTGTTGAGACATCTTTCTGCTCTACTTTATCAACTTAAAAAAAAGAGAAAACATCTAATTATTAACTTAGCAGTCATTAAAGTCTTCGAAGTAAAACTAAAGAAAGAATTATCTACTCACCCCTACCCCTAATCAGGAATCTCTATCAGATTCCTGTCTCCTTATTCTTCCTTTAAAAAAAGAAGAAAAAGGGGGGACGGCAGGTGGCATGGTGGTTAAGGGCGCTGGACTCTCACATGGCCAATAACGGTTTAAGTCCTGGACCTAGTGGCTTGTCTTCTTACTTTCCCCCTACCCCCCAACTCTGCCCCTCTCTGGTCAAATTAAAACAAATAAATAAATAAAGTTAAAATAAAATAATTCTTTTTTTTTTTTGAGAGGTTATTGCTATAGGGTGCGTGAGCTTGCCAGAAAGACAGAGAGTGAGAAATCACCCCCCAGGGGAATAGCCATGCCGCAATCCCTTTTCCTCCATTCTCCTCTCAGGATCTTGGGCACACACGCACACGTGCTCAGCTTGAGTTTAAGCCAGGACTCGAACTGTGGTCGACTACATGGGAGTCCAGCAACATAGCCATTACACTAATGGCTGGTCCAATAAAATAATTATGCTGGTCCAATAAAATAATTCTTAAAAAAAAAAAAGAAGAAGAAGAAAATAAAAAGGGACCAGCAGATGGTGTGATGGTTACGTTGCTGGACTACCACAGAGTCAACTGCATTTCAAGTCCCAGGCCCATGGCTTAAAAATGCTGGGTGCATGTGCATGCGTGCCCAAAATCCAGAGAGGAGAATGGAGAAGAAAGGATTGCAGCGTGGCCATCCCCTCTGGGGAGTGATTTCTCACTTTGTCTCTCACCGTCTCTCCAGGGAATGCACTCACCCTATAGCAAAAATCTCTAACAAAAACAAGAAAAAAAGAAAACATGGGACCAGCAGATAGTATAATGGTTATGTCGCTGGACACCCACAGATTGTACTGTTGTTCGATTCCCGGACCTAGTGGCTTAAAACTCACATGGGGCAGATGTGCTTGAGTGTGTGTTCAAAATCCAGAGGAGAATAGAGAAGGGACTGCAGCATGACATTCCCCCAGAGGGTGATGTCTAGCTTTCTGTCTCCCTGGTGAGCATGCATGCCCTATAACAAAAATCACTCTTAGGAAAAAAAAAAACATAAAAAGGGACCAGCAGATGGGGTAATGGTTATATCACTAGATTCCCATGTAGTCAATCGTGGTTCAAGTCCTGGACCTGGAGGCTTAAAATTCACGCTGGGTGCGTGTGCATGTGTGCCCAAAGTCCCAAGAAGAGAATGGAGAAGAGACCGCAGTGTGGCCATCCTCCTAGAGGGATGATTTCTCACTTTCTGATTTTCTGTCTGTCTCTGGTGGGTGCACACACCCCATAGAAAAAAATCTCTCCAGAAAAAAAAGGAAAAAAAAACCATGACCACTACAAACTTTAACATGTTTTTAAATATTTAATGCTGGATATGTGAACTTTTAACCATCAAATATAATCTTTAGCAAATTTACACAACAGTTGTATTGAAATATGCACATACCTTACAATTAGCCCACTTAAAATGTACAATTCACCTGTGGCCTGATGGTTGGGGCAACGGGATCCCACGTGGTTCAAGTCAAGGGACACCCTGCTGTGTGCATGCCTCAAAATCTCCACGGTGGGAAAAATGGGGGCAAGGGGTTGCAGCACTACCACAGCCCATGAGGGGCACTTTCTCTCT